CGCTATTACAACACGATTAAAAGACATAAGAGGTTTAGAATAGTAATAATGTTGGACATTCATTGCTGTAAAATTTCTTCGTTATTGTGTTATCGCAAAAGAATTCAGACCATTGTATAATGTTTGTTAGTCATATGAGTGTTCATATGAGACAAAATGGGCAAAAGCCTGTAATATAATTACAGTGTCCGGCGATAATCTTCAACTGAGATATATACAGTTAGCCGCGAGTAAACACCACTTTGCTTGCATCCTAGTCACGTGCTTCTTCGCATCCCAAACAGGGATTGATCAACGGCAAATGCTTTATCCTTTATCCTTTTTTATCCTTGGGAAGAGAGTTCTGGAATCCAAAGCTAAGGCTCCCTTCTACAAGTTTCTAAGCTTTGTTTTGCTCGTTGAAGAGCGGCATTTCTCGAATAAAAGATTCAATTTGGTTAGTCGCAGTCAAATCAACAATTCATATCAGCATGGAGAAGTCATTTATGGTTATCCGCATGAATCTCAAGTTTCTTTCAATATGATGCTCTCTGCTGCTGTAGTTCCTTTTATAACTGGCGTCACGCTTTGTTGCTACGGTTCGAAAGAAGACTCCTCATAATGACAACCATAACTACAGACCCAACAGAATTACATCGGTGTTTTGCAGATGAACTGAAAAAATAGTCAACAAGGTCACTGTTTGGCACTAATGGTAAGGATCGAATCGCGTCTTGTCCTTTACTAACTTCGGGGCAGCATCTCCTTTTGTTTTGGCTCAGGTGTGGGCGCTCCGATTTTGAAAAGATTGGTCTTTTTCTTAAAACCAAGAAGAACTTCAGGTACGGTCTACAGCTTCGAAAGAAGCAGATATTCCACGACGACCCCACGGCTGTCAGAGACGTTCTCGTGGGAATTATTAAAACGGAGTATCATGAGACGCGCCCAAACATGGGTTGGTGGCCGAAGAAGGTCATAATCGAGTGTCTATGGAATCCGATCGAGAAAAAGTCATCGTAGACTTAGTAGTGACCCAGCGACTTCAAAAACAGGAAGACGAATTGGACTCGTCACAGTTTCTATAGTGATCCATCCGGTATCATTTATTTCGTGCCATCTGTAAGATTTTTGCTAAAAATTTAGATGCTGGAAGAGATTCCAAATCTAATAAATTTCTCCAAAGTTCCATCACCTTTTGCACCTTTTGCCAAGAGGGGCCGTTCGAGAACATGATGTAGTGGAGTGGCTTTGTGAGCCTACTCGTTGGTAAAGTCTGTGTGTGTGACACTAATTTGATCTCACGTGTTCATCCACTCCGCGAGTGGGGTGCGCTGGTTCAAGCAGGATGTCTTCATAATTGACTGCTTCCAGAAAGTGAGCGACAAATCGAACATGACAGACGACTTTCCTTGCCTGCACTTATAGTCCCAAAACTCGCCACGCCTTGAATTCCTATTCATCCTTTTTTCTTTCCTTTTTTCTGTTTAAGAGTTCCTTAACTATACGGCAGAATGAACTTACCCTGTTGCTTTTCATGGTTCAGAACCACTCTTGAGCAAAATGCATATCTTATAAAAATGGGAAGCCTCTGTGTCTTCGTAGAATGTGCGAGGTGAAAGCGGCACCTCCACTAGCTGCCCAGCAAGAGTATAAATCTCAAGAGCATCCGAAATTATAGAAGTTCTCAAAACTGAATGCTTGTCCGCTATTTCAAAAAGTATGGTATAACAAATAACAACATGTTGAGTACTGAAAATTCGACAATTCATGAAGTATGATTAGCTCGCCTTGAAGGCAGCGATTGATAAGGAGGGAACGCATTGGAGAAGCATATGCACCACTCAGTTACTTGGCTGCCAAGGGAGGAGGTGTGGCGCTTTCACGACGAAAGGTGCGCTGGTTGCTGAGCAGGACTTCGAAAGCACTCCGCCCCCAAAAGCGATCCGCCCACTAGTTTAGTTGGTGATTTGGACGAGCTGCGTTGCCAGCAGCAGCAAACTCGACTGGGCAAATGGATTGGCATGCTGTCACCAAAGGCGTTGCGGTGACCTCGCTCACATGTTCTGAATCTGTCGCCGTTCAACTATGTGCAAGCCAAAACGCCAGAAAATCGGATCCCCATCTGACGGATTTTGTGTTAATAATCTTATCTCTGAAGAGATTTCGTCCCCTCCCTTTTTCGTTACTCGGTGCAACGCACGCAATTGAGCAACCAGCCATCCTCTTCTATCGAAACCCTTCTTGAACCTATCGTAATCACTGCCTTTAATACCCTCTATAAATGTCCATTTTTGTTCCTGAAGATCAATTTACAAATCCAAAGGAAATGACCAATTGACGTTCTGCTTGATAACTTTGAAATTGAAAATTCTCAAGGCTAAAAAATTCAGATCTGGCATAGAACGCGTCTGTAAGTGTCACGCACCTATTTTCCTATGTTGCTCTCTCAGCGGTTGTTTCCTTTGAACTTAAATTATCATTCCACGTCTTCCAAATTCTGTATATCAACTCTTCAGCTTCCGCTCGTAGGACAGAACGACGGGAGAAAACAGCTTCCAAAACTACGGGCACTCTTCAGGACGTTCATACCCTTCAACAAGATTCATTCTGCTCTGCAGTGCCGCAAGGGTGTCTTTTGTGGAGATGTGCTCCAACAAAGCCTTCTGAGCTGAGTATTCAGACTTCTGAGTTCCTATACCTTCGAAAGCAGAAAACATCAAATGGGCTTCTATACATTATATTAAACTTGAAACAATATAAAATGTATTTGATCTTTTCAATTCTTCCTTGCTCTTTCAGCATGTTTTCCCAGTGGATTTTTCCTGTGATGGTTTGAAACATGTTGAACTCCGTTTTTCTGTTCGTAGTTAACCATTTGGCCCGTATTCCCATTTAAAAAAAAGTCCCCGAAATGTCTTTGCGTCGATCACAATAGTGAGACGGTGTGGAATCGTAAGCAAACCAGCGGTGATATTCATCATCATGATCGTAACCCAAACCCGATTTCGCAACTCGCCAATGTCAACCCGAGGGCGTCAGTAATCGGGGGCAGGCCGGTTCGTTTTCGTGAACGGACGGACGGGATAGCGTTTCACAGATACATGGAAAAAGTTGGCCTCAATCATACACCAAAGGTTATGAACTGGTTTCTGTGAAATGTGATTAAGGGTTGCACAAAAAAGGCTCAAAAGAAAACTGATCCCGACCCCGATTCAGAAAAAAAATTTCGCCGTCTCTATCGAGGTTTTGAAGAAACTCAGGGTAAGAATGTTTGAGGTGTACGGAGTCACTCTCTAGAGCGCGCTATGTACTCGATTTCGACCATAACGAAGCGACCTGGATAATAGCGCCCCCCCCCCTGAAAGCGTGAATACACTAAACCTTTTTATTCAAATTTGGACCATTCTCTCAAGACGTACATAAATGCAGCGGAGGTGCTGTAACACTTGGTTTCTATTACCGCGCCCACCGCCCGAGAATCCTACTCCTGATCGAATTTTGCTTTCCGACCAAATTTTCCACGCCTCAGGGTCAGGTGCACTCGTCTAGAGGGTCACGCTCACTGGCTCGTTCATCGGTTAACTACGAAAGCACTGAGCCGACCAGATGGTGCTTATCAGGAAGGTGCTCAGGTCATTCGGGATCAGAATCTCAAACCACCCTCCCCCTCCCCCAAATCTTCACCAAATGGAGTTATAAGGGCGAGAGCGCATAGGTGATAGTGGTTCGGACCGTCATGCAGAAGGTCATCGACTAGGATCCTTCAAGAGTTTGCTCTTTGAAGTTTCCAAAAGGCTCTGCGCGTTTTTTTATCGATGCTTGTTTATACCTACCGTATAATGAATTTACGATGAATTTGAGCTCCTATTCGCTCATAGCTGCTCATGGTCATGCGCAAGTGAAGCCCAAAGTTCATGGTTATCTCATCTTAGCTGTAGCCAAGCGATATTAACTGAAGTTTTTTTTTCAGAAAAATTGTGCCCAAAAGCACAATGGTTCAAAGCAAGGGGGACATACGATTCCATAAATCTTGCCAGAACCCGCACCATTTACCGGCTGCCGCTTGCGGCCTTTCAAAATAAACAATTCATGCGAATGTTTCACAAGAATGCTGGGTTGTGAACAAAACTTTCGCCCCAGGCGGGACTAGAACCCGCACCTCTCGCTTTCCGGGCAAGTGCGCTACCAGTTACGCTACCGGGGCACCATTTCATCCCAACTCAGCTTTTCATGGTATACGTACCATAGCTTTCAGCACGCCTTCTAGTCCCGCCTGGGGCGAAAGTTTTGTTCACGACCCAGTGTTCTTGTGAAACATTCGCAACACGGACTGCGGCATTAAAACAGCAGTTAACAAACAAAACAAAATTATTCAGAAAATCTTTTAGCAGATTTAAAAGACAGCGTATGAAATCAGCGTTCGAAAGTGCAAATAGAAATATCAGTATCGATAGCTATATAATATCTATGCAAAAAGCTATAATCATCTCGAGTGGCCATGCGAACTCTGTAAGCTTTCGTTGTTACGATGCCACTGCAGCTCTGAGTAGGCACAAAATGCACTGCGCATTACAGCACCAAGAAGTTGGTCGACGCCCGATTTTCAGCTCCTTCTACCACTTTTGTTTCGTGAATGGTTTTTGTAACAATTGGTTAATCGCTTCATCAACAGGTGCCCGTGCTCATATATCAGGTGTGCGCATAAAATTGCATGGCCATCGTCTTTGACGAATAGCTTTTCAATTCGCGTGAATCCGGTCGCAGTTCAAGTTCAGTTGCTGAAATGGCGATGGCCAGTGGGAGACGCCGGTTTACGGCCTGTGGTTCGACGGCGTTTTGCCGAAATCCACCGTCGAAAAACAACGTGGGAGACAATGAGAGCGAAAACCGGCCGGTTTTGATAGATAACAACGGTCCGCCATGTACTTGCCGCCGTTGATTTCCAGTCTTTTCGTGAAATGGGCGTGGCCAGGCGTGGTGAGAATTGCTCTAGCACGCGTTCGGCTTCTCAGTCGGCCACGATGACTTCGGCACATGCAGCACATGCAGCTGCTTACGCAGCCATCGGACTTTCCTCGATATGTGTCCTTGTTACCGTATTCTATATGCCAATGTTCCTCTCGAAAGTGCAATCCATCCAGGACCGTCTGTCAAGGAACATGGATGAGTTTAATGTAATGCAGGTAGGTCTTATTAGGGCTGTGGAACAGTGTGCCTGGTGTTCAGCAAGGTGAGCTTTGAATAAAGAATAACGATTTTCAGACGGAGATCTGGAGTGACCTGCAGCATGCAAAGAACGAGTCTCCAGTTCGTAAGGTCACCAAACGTCAAGTGGAAGGCGAATGCGGTAAGGAAAAAGCACCCCTCGAGAGAGAGAGATAATACGGCATAATTAGGTTTTATTGACCGAATTGGAACCTGGTGAGTCTCCCAGCAAATCCCGCCTGAGATAGAGAGGAGCTTGGTGAATGCGTTTACGCGCTCGTTTGTTTGATAAGACGATCGTCTGGGGAAGCTGCTGTGTAGACGAAAGTGGATAGGAGTTGTGAGGGATGGACGGAGTGAGGATCTAGGGAATCGCAAAACCAGATTTTCCTTAGCTACAACCGGTAACTCACTAGTGCTCCATACCCAGCTCACTTTATAGTCCCTCTAGTAGGCTTAAAGCTCCAAAAGTAAGGGTAAGAAGAGTTGTTGGTAACGATGGAATCGTTTGGATATGAATTCGTGACTCACCAAGCAAAAACAGCAGTGTGCTTTTATGGCCAGTGCGACGTCAGAAGTTGGTATGGAAAAAAGAAACTGTTTTCTTGTTTCTGTTTTTTACAACAGGCTCCTGTAAGAAAACCGAATTTCGACTGCCGTCCAAAAATGAAGTTTCACAGGAATGCGATTTGTACTACAAAGTGACTAGCCTGGGACAAATAAAGCATGCTGCAAAGAAGATCAGTTCGCCAGGGCGTGCTTCAGTGCTCGGCTCGTTACCCTCTGCCAAGTGTGAGGGGTCTAACGGCACTACCTACTACTTGGCACTACTCTCACCTCTGCCCAGTGCAAGATCAAATATTGTGGGTAGGAAGTACCAAAAGCCTTAAACGTAGACTGTTGTAACCTTTACTGGTTTGAACAGTATGTACCTTTTCAAGTGCTTAATAGGGCTGATTGGGTATTTCAGGATCTTTCTCTTGGCTCGCCTAAACAGTATTACGCTGGACACGGGGTTCGTGATTTGAGCTAATGCGAATTAAGACAATAATAATGGCACCACTGCAAGGCGCTTCTTTTGCTCATCGACCAAGTGTTCCCTTCCTGATGAGTCCTGATGGGTCCTGAACTTGAGTGGGAGTCGAGGGTTTGGCGCGGTCTGATTTTCATAGCCTTAGATAAGCAGAAGCACAACGACTGGAGCCGAACTGAGCAGCGATCGTCGATGAAGAGATGAATTTTTATGCAGGCGAAGACTTCGGCAAGCAGAGGTTATGTAAGCTTAGCCTGAGGAGTTAACTGACAAGTACGAACTTCTTAGAAATGTAAGCATGACTGTCCGGTTTGCTAGTATAATAGATACCGAAAGCAAGTAAAAACTCTAGACCATTAGGCGAAATAGAACTTGTTGCAATCTGCAGCAGGAAGCAAGGCTTTGCGTATGCTTGTAGAACAGGTCGTTCTTGTTCAGTTCTTTCTTCAAAAGCAGTCACGAAGACTAACGGTTACTCTTTTTGTTGTCGTAACGATGCTGAGTTATGGGCTGGTTTATGCCTCTCTGGGCAGGTCTTCGGTAATTAATCTGTCTTCTGGGTATGGGAGGTGTGGCGAAGGCAAGCTAGGTGAGGTGCTCATCTCCCGTGCACTATACATTATTAATTGGTAGAGAGATATAGGAATTATTTCTCACCTTGATGTACTCTGTGAGTGACAATAGCTACCCATTAGTGCGCACTTGGATATGCAAATCATTTGCAGACTGCAGCACAGAGAACACTTGCCCGCCAGGTGAGAAAGGTCGTCCAGGCTTTGATGGGATGGACGGCGTTCCCGGCCAACCAGGAACGCCAGGAGAGCCTGGACTTCCAGGAATCGTGCCTCAAGTACAAGTGAGCGCAAGCGGTTGTCGTGTTTGCCCACCAGGACCGAAGGGACCCCTCGGTAAGATCTCCTCATTTATAATAATTTTAGTCTACAAAACTTAATAAGATTTTTACAGGATATCCTGGACAACCTGGACCACAAGGGTTGCCAGGACAGGAAGGACCACCAGGAGATAGTGGTCGACCAGGAAGCGATGGCGTCCCTGGACCACCTGGACCAATGGGTCCGATTGGTGGGCCAGGCAAGGATGGCGAAGAAGGTCCTCCAGGAGCCGAAGGTATTCGAGGTGAAAAAGGTCCTATCGGCCCACCGGGACTCAAGGGTCTTGTTGGTCCAAGGGGTTACCCAGGTAGCTCTGGGCCACCTGGACAACCTGGAAACATTGGCATAATGGGAGAGCCTGGACCAGAAGGAAAGCCAGGTAAGTAGAAATCTAATTTTCCTGTCAGTAGTTTTTCAAAGAAAATTTTGATTTTGAAGGTATGCCTGGATTCGTTGGAGGTATCGGTAATTACGGGGAGCCTGGACATCCAGGCGATGATGCCGGCTACTGTCTTTGTCCAGCCAGAGCGACAAACAAGAAGACCACTACTTAGTCGATTGTGAGACAGAGAAACTGTTCTTTTCGAATAAATATTGTGCACTCCGCCTTGGAAACTGGTGCGGTTTAAAGCGAGAACAGCTATAATTGCAAGTGAAAATTGAACCAAAGGTAATCGGCTAAGATATCTTGGTAGGGCTCTTTTTTGTCACATAGGTTTCTCTTCATTCGCAATGCGAGTTTCACTCTGAGGAAAACGACAAAAACTTCAAAAGCGACAAAATTCACTTTTGCCGAAAACCTTGGCCACCGAGCTAGCAACTAGGCCATCTTAGATTGGTATAGTTGTGGTATGCATGCCGCGGGAAATGAGCTCGGAGAGCTCTACTTCTTCAGATTCTTGCTTTATATTTGACGAACGAGTCACACAAGGTTGAATTGAAAGAATTCAGTCGAGGAAGTTGGGGTCTTCGTTTACTTTCTGTTGTAACTTAGACTTCGGTGCACACAGTAAATCATTTTTCTAATACAACTTTCATTCTATTCAAAGCAACGTTCAGATGGGAAAACCTAATGGCGACTTGCTGAAAAACCATAGAGCTACAGTGCTGTCATATGCTCTACAATCCGTGACTTTTGTTCGCGTCCGAATAGGAAAGATATATCTTAACTGTTTAGGTGACATGCGCAGAAATAACTGTTCACTCGATAAGCTTAATTCTCGGACTGGACTCTAGCTACGAGCCGTCACTAAATGCAGCTGAAAGGCGTCGATGTTATGCTTTACCCTCTCAAAATATGATTAGCCAATGGTGTCATTACGGCATTTGACATTCACCTGTATCACCTGTCGTCCCGTTGATCATCGAATTGCTCGAGCGGGCGCCAGCAACGTCTCCATTCGTCCCTGTCGCGTGCTAGAGTGTCCAGTGGATCCTCCTTGCTCGAGGGACACGAAGTCCATCATTCCTTTCGTTCAGAGCTTTCGTGAAGAAGTCTGACCATCGGGCCGGCGGTCGTCCAGGTGTTCGTTTGACGTCCCGAGGGATCCAGTCGGTAACCGCTCTGGTCCAACGGTCATCGCAAAATCGCATGACGTGTCCGGCCCACCTTATCTTCGATTCCTTGGCGAAAACGGCAGCGTCCCTGATCTTCGATCGTTGGCGTAGTTCGGCACTCCGGATTCCCCTCTGCACTTGCGTGTATAGGGTTACTCCTAGCATCGTCCTCTCGACAGCGCGTTGGATAACGCTGACCGCATGCTCGTCCTGCCTGCGCAGAGTCCAAGTCTCTGAGGCGTAGGTTAGGGCAGGAAGGACAGCGGAATCGAAGAGGTGGGCACGGAGCCGGATGTTCTTCGTCTTCTTCACTACTCCCTCGATGTTCTTATACGCTCCCCATTTGACAATGTGTACCGGAAAATGTTGTCAAAACATTCCACAACACTTGGCTCCATATAACGCCAGGACAAGGGGTAGTGCTTTGAAAACAAAGCGTCCTATGCTGAGATTCCTGCTCATAGCGAAATTGCATGTAGTCAGAGCAGTACTCTTTCTAGATGAAATACTCGGCCAGGATAAATTTCGCAGCAAAGCCATTGAATTAATTAATGCGAAGATTTCTTTCGATTATATCAGACATGGCTTATTGATCGATTTGCGTGTTTTTCATGGCGTTGTCAGAATAGGATTCCAGCCCGGCAATGTCTTGTACTCATGCTAACCGTTTCTCTCCTCGTGTGATCTGCTGTAGTTCACCTTGTTATTCCCACATAGTAACTCTACGTCTATAAATAAATAAGTAAACAGAATAATACAATATATGCACTTTTGGGCGATTGCCTACACCATTCACGATCATGTCGCAGACTAGCAAAAAAGGCTCCTCCAAAAACCTCGTAAGCGATTAGAGCTCATAGGAACAGGCCAAACGGCGAAGCATCAATTCAAAGGTTACTATTAAAAGCAGCCCAGATAGGATTATAATGCGAACACAAGAAGTAGAGTTGCTCGTCTTCGAAGCGTGTTCTAGGGATACGTAAGGGAGGGATCAAGAGACACAGGAACTGCGTATGTACTGGATTTGGTAGCGAAGCCAAACTGCAAACGTTCTCAATTGAAGCTTCAGTTTTTTTTGGATTCTCCTGCTATCGCTCTTCGCCAATGATATACCTAACACATTGACGACAACGGGCGTTTTGGCTTTTTTGGTGTGGGACGGGACGATCTTGCGAGCGCGGCCGCCGCACCTAGCAATCGTAAATATTGAATGATAACTTCTGGAAAGCATCACTGGTACAAAACCATTTCAGCAATATTCAATGCGTAGAAGATGAATGCAATATTCCGATCAAAAGAACGTGTAGTGAAAATGAAAAGAAACCTTCCAGTTCTTTCTACTGTAGCGTACGCCAAAACTATTTTAGAAGTGGTTACGATTTGTATTCGAAGGTCGAGTACGTGTTTGTTGACCCTATGTTCGCGCGATAGAGAATTTGTCTCGAAAGCGAAATAGAACAACTTCACCTCCACTCTCACGCAGTCACACTGCGTCCGGAAATAAAAATAAATAAATAAATAAGATCATGACTGTGGAAAATGTGAGGACGGCAGAGGGACAGCAAAACAATTATTATTGTAAAATAAAACGTATTATGAACGTGCGTTGTGATATATAGTATAGAGATAGTATGCATTACTTGATGACCGATATAAGACGATGACTATCGCCTCATGCCGATAGATCAAATAATACTATCAGGTTGCAAGGAAAGTTCTGGCCGTTTTCGATAGTTCAAGTTCATGGCATTATTTCTGGCTAATTTTCGGCAGACTGCTACGAGTTGCATATCGTTAGAAAGCGCGTTTTTGCTCTATCCAAATACGTGTAAGCTTTGCTCTAGAGGGACTACTCCCACTTTTTTAAAGCCTTGAATGCAACATGCTCACCAAGCGAATCCTCACGATTTTCTTCTTCTACCTCGAATTAGGGCAGAAAGGAGCGGAATCAGCTCATGATATAAACTATTCGTTTGGCCATGCATTTGCGAAAAATAAGCCATGAAGCGATAGTTTGGAAAGCTTGTGTAGGGATGGCGATAGCCTCGAAGTTGGCGAGGGTGATCGTTGGATGTCGAACTTCGGTAAAAATTACCTGAAACATTTGATGGAACCAAATGTGCTTGAAACAGTTAGAAGACCGCTACCGAATTGAGCGTATATGATTTGTGGTTTCAAGTTACATGGGATAGCTTAAAAAGCACGGAAAAGTCGATAAGGAGGTGTTGCGAAAAATCGCGGTTCCGTAGGGCCGTCTGCCTTTCTTCTTCAATCTTTCATTCAATGAAAACGACCCGTGTTTGTTTGGATTGTGAGTTGTGAATGTAGAATGGATTCTTCTCAATAACCTACGAACTTCGGGTGGGTAGTTCGATCACGACTAGGGTCAACAAAATTTCGCAAAGATGAAACTGCGCGAGGAGAAGGTTGTTCGGCCTGTTACGCGCACTACAGCAGGCGCAGCTTTTCGAGCTTACTAGGGAAGGATGAAGGGTCGAAGTGGCCATATGAAATGAGACAAGTATCATGGTATGTGGTTTCGGACGCTGATCTCGAATCTTCTTCCCAAATCTGCCAAACGATTCGCTGAACGGAGTTACGGAGGTTTTTTGTTCCCTCACACAGTTTAACACAGTGAGAAATCGGCCTCAGCAGCAGCGGCTTGTGAACGAAGCAGTGAGCCTCTCGATCGGTGCTGGTGGCCTAGTGGTTAAGGTGGTGGGCTTGGGATTTCGGGTCAGTGGTTCGGATCCGCCGCGTGTTTTTCCTTTTGCATTTTTGTGACTGACTATTTGGCAGTAGTGAAACATGATTCCTTCATCATTGGTCAGCCCTACTTGCTTTTGGATGAGTTTGAGGTCGATAACTTCGAAATTTTTCCTAACTTGCATGCCACTACATAAGGTTAAGGCGCGCCAGTATACGGAGCGCGCGCTTCAGCCGTTTTTGAGTGAACGAATGTGAGATCTGTGTTCAAGTAGTCCAATAACTCCTGGGGCCGATTTCTAGAAAAAGATTTTGAATTAACTTCAAAAAAAGTGGGCGAGTCACTCATTGATGCTACATATCCATAGCCGGTAGTTCCAGGGTTGACCTATTTTGGACGACGGCGACCCTTTAAATTTGAAAATAATAAAATGTGGGTGTTGAAATCATGCGAACAGAAAACCAGACACTGCTTTACACTCTTCAGAAACCAAAAAAAAAACTTATATCGTCTCAAGGCTATATAGGCTTCGATGATAGGCTGATGGATGAATGATAGATACCCACCCAGCTTATTTCGAAATTTGGTCGAAATCTCAAATTTGGCTACAAACTTGTCCCTAGGGGTATTTTAATCTCCCGAACACGAATATCACACTTGTTTGCTGCAAAAACGTCTGCCAAGAGTTCTGTGGGCTCCATGTGCAGTCTTTAGTAAGTACCGCCGAAACTGATTAGAAACTTCGCAAAGTCTTTGCACGGGTAACTACAGGCAAGCATTGATCGAGTAAGGTAGTTGGGAGCCTTTTTCAATCATTTTGCAGCGAAGGCAAAAAAGAGAACCCGCCAGGGAATCGATCCTACGACGTCTCGCACGTGAACCCGGACTACTACCGCTGCACTACTTTCCTTCATAACTCCATTCGGAAAATCGTTTGGCAGATTTGGAAAGCAGATTCGAGATCAGCGTCCAAAAACGCATCCAACGGTGTAGGTCTTTTACATATGGCCACTTCGACCAACCATCCGTTCCTGGTTAGCGGAACTGTATAGTGGGACAATGTTCTTTGCGTGATGTTGGAAATATCCCAAAATCTTTACCTTTGCGCCCAGCAAGGGCTGCCATAAAAGGCCGACTATTTCCCTATTGCACCTCAGCCGTTGACCGCAGAAGCGACCCTGCAAAAAAAGAACTAGCTGAAGTACTGAACTATGTCCCAAACGTCCCACTCCCTAGACCTCTTCCCTATTCACCGCCACTTTTTCAACGGTCTGGATAGCACCTTAAAGG